CTTTAAATATGATATGAAACACATTTAAGAATTTATAACGTCTCATATTCTTAGTGAGTATAAACTAATTAGATATTAACAGACTGTGTAAGTAATTATCCTTAAATACCACAAAGTCCAGAGAAAGGGTGTAAAGAACCCTTTATTAACTCAATTATCATTCACAGATGACACTGGTTCATGTTTACGAAACCAACACTTTTGGCTTAATTCAAAAGGTAAAATGTAACTTAGAATAGAATTAAGTTAGCATAATGTCTTTTCACAGGTTCCTTAATGTGCAGGCAGGCTCTGACTCATCAAAGTCGGTGTTTAGAAGTACTCAACAGCACGAAAATCTAATCACTAGTAAATCAAAGATAATAACGTGGGCTTCAGGCTGGTAGAATGCGCTCGAAAATCATCTTCCAAAACATTCCCTTAAGTACTAACATCTTTCTGCATCATTTGAATACACTCATGCAAACTTATTTACATTCTGGCAAGAAAGCATGGGCTGAAAGCAAGAGTAATAGGAATCTTGCCTCAAAATGAAATTAAATAACGTAAATAAATTCCCACAAAGTTATTGCTTGAAATGATATTCAGTTTTGTTTTTGTAGGTTATATTATGGCCCTTATCACCCAAATTTGGGTATTCATTTTTTCAAACTTGGCAAGATACAGAATTTTCAAAATCTAATGTCTGCTGCTGAGCATAATTTGTTTCAGGTAATTTATATTTTACTTCACTGTTAACACATTTTTGCATTAACTCTATATTTATCTTAATTAAAATAAGCTATAATGTTATAAGATACAAATTACAGAAAAAGCTTCATTAATTAATATTACTTTCATTTAAAAAATTGCTATAAGTTAAAGAAATGTTTGCTCAAACTTTGTAATTGTCCTGGGTTTTATTTTTATAAAAATATTTCAAAGAATGTTTGAATGGAAATTATTTATAAAATGCACATTTAAGCATCTGTGGCAGTCTGATGTTCGGCTGCGTGTGCTGCCAGACCACATCATGTTGTGTACGTAAAAACTGCAAGCGCGACAGGAAACAGGCTCACTTCATCTTTAGTTCGAGCATAGGATGTACGAATTTTTGTGTAGAAGTTGTCTGTTATGTTATGACAGTTTTGTTAAAATATGGTGTGTGTGTGAATTAAGTTATGTTTAGCGAAGTGGAGTCATGTCTTTGAAGGATATGCACCGAGCCATAACCCACCCACAACCCACCCACTGAAAATTGGCGACCCATCTACACGCATGAAGCTTCATACTGGTTGTTCTTTCAGGAGCTTGGTTCTAGGACTTTTGTGTTTTTCTCTTCAGCCACTGCCATAGAGGAAACAGCAGCCGTGAAGATACTAATTTACAATCCTATTGACCCGGCATTGTGGTTTGCTATGTGTCATAGCTCATGCACCATACATCCATACAATAATACTAAAATATTTCCTTAGATAACAATGTTACTTGTAAATTAGGGAGTGTTATATCAGACAATTAGTTTTCTCCCAAGATATAAAAACCATAAATCCTGTTCACTTGACTATTTTTTTAATTAATAAAACTAGACTTTATTAGTCTATGCGAAAAATTAATACTCATAAATGTATGCAAATTTAATTCAAATTATGAAATTAAAAAGTCTTGTGATATAACTGAGTTTTCGGAAGGTTGGAAGAAATCCTTCTCTGAAGTCTGGACAGAATACATATAAATATCATTTTTACCTTAAAAGCACATTCATAGATATTTTTAAGAGACTTGCTGTTTTTAGTGCTTTTTATTCCTTCTCTAGTTATTGCAAATTGTCACTTATCCAGTTATTCAGATCTTTAAAGATGCTTTCAAAGATCCTGGCTTTGATGAGATTTTATTTTTAAACTATCAATTTTTTTTAGTCACATTAATCCACATTCCTCAGTTTTTCAAGAATTTTTTGGTTTTGAAATTCCAGAATTTCAAAGAATGTGACTTCCTAATGTGCATGGAAAATTTTGCCTGCATTTGTTTGAGTGCATCTAAACTGTACAGTCTATTTTTAGAGCTGCCTCTTCCAGTATAGTTGCGTATAATGCAGTCTTTTAAAAGGAGTTGGTGAAATATAATTATCATTCTAGGAATTGTTGTCCATTGTACAGGCTGTTCTGTGTATCAGAAATTCATATTAATAAGTAATAAGTAATAGTGTCCTTATACTATTAAGTTAGGTGACAGATCAGTATAGTGATGCGTAATATAGAACAGGCGTCGGCAATCTTTTTTTGGCTACGGGTCAAAATCAACCAAAATGTGTGTATTAAAAACTGCTTCAGTTCAGTGGTATTTTCAATTTAGAACATTCGACTTTCCTGATGTTGAACTTATGACTAGAGAAAGTCATGTCTGGCTTATAGTTAGTCATCTAAAGTTGAATACAAGCATCTGAATTTTTGATAGTTAAGCTGCTCCCATTCTTACTTAAAATAGATTTCATATGTGAAAATATTTGCTCCATTTATATGTTGAACTGAATGTGGACAAAAGTGGCATAGCCACTTTTTTAAAATTATGGATTATGGTTCAGTGCTGCCAAACTTATCGATTTCTCCTTGAAATTATGTTATAGTTTTAAATTTTTAAAAAGTAAAAGATACCTGTTCATTACTGCAGCTTTGTAATGAAACAAAAGTGTTATAGTTATTGACTGTGGGTTTATTTTGTAATGTATTCTTCAAGTGCCTGTTTCATACTATTTATGTTTTATGATTTATTTTTATATATTATGCTTTTTTTTCGGAACTCACTTGCAATTATTAAATGGGTCACTTGGTGACCCACAAGTCATAGGTTGCCAAGCCCTAATATTGAGCTTGCAGTGGCAGGTGCTGATGCAGTCACCATGCTGCAGGGAACATTTTCAAGATGCCTATTATTTGCCTGCCTTTAACATATACCACAGTTCAGTTTGCATCCTGCTCATTAGCAGTGGTATCTTAAATATAATGGAATGAGGTATTATTGAAAGACAGTGTCATGCCAGTCATATCTCTCTCCATGATATTTAGGATATCGTTGTAGCTACCTGTGGTGCTCTTCAAAAGCAACCAAATAATGGGCATATTGCAAAAATTCCCCAATGCTGCAGATAAAGTAGAGTCTGATAAGCGGAAGGAAGTTTTAGTGCGGTCCTTCCTATTTCTTGGCAAAGGGTTTCTAGTATGGCAATATAATTTTTAATAGTTATGTACTCAGGATGCTGTTAGTCATCTCTTTCAATTCTGAAATGTGTGTCTTTAGATTCTTCACATATGTGGATTGGGCCCTTTTCAATGTACTGTTTTCCATATTCACATCATTGTTATTAAATACTCTTCAACAAAAGTTCCTGTTCTATCTTCTCTACAAAAGAACAATAAGTAACCACTTTTTTTCAATAATTAAAAGTGGCTCTCTTTTCCCTCTTAAAATAACTTCCTATTGTTATGTATTGCTGACATATATGATTTAGTGTTAATCATTTACATGACCTGCCATAAGCTGTATCTCATACAAACTTTGGTCAATCGGATGCATCCTTTCTGATGTTGCGATTTTACAAAATCATGAGTGTTGTTAGGTAGAGAATTAATCCTTCAACAAAAGGTGCTTTCACATAAAAAATACTTTAAAGTCCTCCCTTCCCCTCTAAAGTCTTTCTTTATTTAAAATTTGAGAGGATTTTAAATAAGGAAAAATTCTGCAGAAGGTAAAACATCATTTTGGATAAATGAAGAACAAAGTAAAGCAGTTAACATTTCCTTGCTTAATAAAGTAACAAACACATCATGTAAATAAAATTTTAAAGTGCATCTTTCTCATAGATTTGCATTTCCATCCTTACAAGATAATGAAACCAGTCCAGCAAGGTTTTATGTTTTGGAACACTTTTCTTGTCTTTTTAAGGGCCAACCAGTGGCCGAGTGGTCTCTGAACACTGGTAGTTCGGTCCGAGGTTCGAATCCCGAGAACGGGCAGGCTGCATGGGCATTTTCGGGGTTTTCCCCACGTGTAACGTGTATACAAGCCAGTTTCCCTTAGAAAGTCCTCCACGAAGGCATCTCTCCTTTTAGGCAGATAGCCCTTGAGGCTTTGTCATAATCACATACACACACTCTTGTCTTTTTAAGAAATCTGACTGTTGATTAAAAGACTGATGACTTCAATTTTTAATCTATTAGTCATTTTTATTGCATCAATCTAAATTTTGACTGAATTAATTCATCATTACTAAACTTCTGTTACATTTGAGTTGATCTATTCTTCCCTTATATCCCATGAATTATTTGAAACTTAAATGGTTTCACAAAGCTTCATCTGTTGTTTGCAATTTTTATTAATTGACCTGAAGTTCCAAGTTGTGATTAAATTTTAATAATTTGTAAGGTGTTTGAAAAACTGTGTAAAATAAATTATAAAGTATTTTTTATTGGCAGTACACAATTAATCAAAACTTCATGAGACATTTTTAGAATTCATATAATAAACTCTGCAGCTGACAACCAGTTTTATTGTTTTAAAATAGAGGTAAACGTTTTTTTTTTAAGTCACATATTTTACGTATGTTCAATCTGTCGATCACTGCCAATATGGTAAATGTATGCATAGTGGGAGGACATATTTGAACATAATTGGAAGGATGGATAATCTCATAGGTGAAAAGGAACTAATGATTATCTCTTTCAAAAAGATATTTGTTTGGCTAAGTGCAACCCAGACCATTATCAAGATCATCTCAATTGAAATTGCCTCAGATATTATTTGTGAGAATATCTCGTTCAAAATTTGTCAGTGGGTGGATAAGATGCTACAGGAAATGGTGATGACACATTAGTGTGTGGCATCCTGGTCTTCAAATTTACACTCACGTCCATAAATTAAGGATAATGCAAGATAAGGCAAAGGAAGAGTTAGAAGCAAAACAAATTTGACTTATTTGTAAAGCTTATTTATTAAACAAAAGGTAAAGAGCAAAAAAGATGCTATGTGTTTGATATTATTAAAAATATTAGCGATTTTTTCTCACTGGAGCAAATTGAAAAAAAAAAAAAAAAACCCAGACGATGCAATACAGTCCGTACAACGCCTAGGCATGCTGAGTATGAAATTATCGATCTGATCTTGGAGATATTACACCACTCAAAAAGCAATGCTCTCCGAAGTTCCGGTAGACATGTTGGAGGAGGTTGACAGGCTGCAACTCGTCGGCCAAGCTTATCCCACACGTGCTCTACTGGATTCAAGTCCGGTGAGAATGCTAGCCAGTCCATACGGGTGATATCCTCCGATTGAAGGCATTCGCTTACGATGTTTGCACGGTGAGGATGGGCGTTGTCATCCATAATTACAAATTGTGCGCCTGTGGCGCCTCGAAACAAACGTACATGTTGTTCCAGAATGACGTCCCGATAGATTTGGCGCTTGTCATGGTTCCAATTTGAACATGCAGGTCAGTTCTGGAACCCAGAATAATTCCACCCCAAATGAGCATTCCTGTACCACCGTAATGAGGTCGTTCAATGATGTTTTTTTGGTGTTAACGGGTACCTGGAGATCTCCATATGAAAGTACGGTGAGAATCAGACTGAAATCTAAACCTGGACTCGTCGGAAAACATCACACAAGCCCACTGTTGCGGTGTCCACAATGCAGGCTCTCTACTCCAGGCTAACCGCAAGCGACAGTGAGTTGCAGTAAGTGGAACACATCTGACAGGTCTACGAGCATATAGACCACTCTCCCCTAAGCGTCTATACACGGTCTGCCTTGAAATTGTCTTACCAGTGGCTGAAGAGAGCTGACGAGACGGGTCTGAGGCTGTGCTCCGCCTGTTTCTTTTGGCAGTAACTGCCAAATACCGGTCCTCATTTGACGTTGTAAGTCTGGGGCGACCTGTGCTGTAATGTCTACTCACATTACCATCATCTTGAAATCGTTGCCAAAGCCTGGAGATGACATTCTGGGCAATTCCAAGTTTGTCTGATACTTCCACTTGGGTATGCCCACATTCCAGACGGCCGATAATTCTACCATGTAAAAAATCATCCAAATGCGTCCTTTGTGTCATAACTATTCAGTTATTGCATTGAAATGCTTATAAAGCGCCTGCGAACAATTTTACGTCTTTGCCTGTATTCCTTATAAATCACTCTCTTACGCTCTCGTCATTGTGACGTACCATCGGTGTCATCTGGTTACTTCCTGAAATTTGCATATGATTCTTGAAGATGTGTGTAGTGATTTTACAGGTGATATATTTATTTTAGAGTTTGATTTCCGCGTGACTCCGAATTATCCTTAATTTATGGACATGAGTGTAGTTCTATATCATTTTAACTTAGGATTATGTTCTTCCTAATTAATGGTATGTTGGGAAAGTAAAAATTAAGAAACTATCTGAGGCGTGTGCGAATACTTATATCTTTGAAACTACAAATGTTACAGTCAATCTATACGTTATTAGATAGACAAATGAGCATATTTGTAAACAAACAAACAAACAAACAAACAAAAAAAAAATTAAAAATTGAACATAGTAACGTCTCAAAAATAGCAAAATTTTGATCAAACTCCATGTGCATGCATGACTGTGTGTGAGTAACAGGGTTGTCTGGTAGACTGTCAATGTGTTCAGGTAGTGTTTGCTGTATTTTGTTTTATTTTGCCAAACTAGTGGTGTTGCAATTTATACAAACTTGACATGTGTCGCAGAAGTTGGGATGTGTAAATCTTTAGTATTTTAGTGCATTTAGATGACGCAGGAAGGAGTAACAATATGTGAAGAACTACATACAAGAAAAGCTGTGTAGTGAATTTCTCATTCAGAAAGCACATTATGAGGTTGTAGTTTGCTCAGAATGTCATGTTATGCCTTGAATAATAAGAAGAAATGCTTATCAGCTAGTGTCAAAATTCGATAGAGGGAGGTTCATTGCCTATCAAGAATTTGAATTATTGTTCCGTGATATCGCCTATCGCACTGGTCAACTTTCAACTATTGTTATGCAAATATGAAATCAATGGGCTGCTGAGGGTCATACTGAATGGCATGCAGGATTTTAATGCTGTCTGATGATAACGCCAGAAAGGATAGACATGTTGTGAGGCCAGCCCTACAAAACCATACGACCACATCATGGAACATTATGGAAATGAGCATGCTTGCAGCACGCCCTGTATAATCTCGTAAGGTGCATCGATGTTTGCAACAGTGTGAACTATCAGCAGGGTGACCATTAATTCGGCTCTTCCTTACAATTCAGCATAGAGATGTCAACTCTGGTGTGCCAAATGACTAAGCTGGATACAGGAGTGCCACAGTGTCGTCTTTTCAGTTGAGTCTCGGTTCTGCTTGCAATATTCTGATGGCCATATACGTGCCTGGAGGCTCCGAGGAGACCACATGTCACCTGCTTGCATTTGATATCTACATAGGGGCCCTGCACCTGGTGTGATGGTTTGAGCAACCATTGGGTACACGACACGCACATCTCTAGTTCGGATTGACAGTAATTTGAACACAGATGAGTAAATTTCTGACAGCTTGGGTCCATTGGTTGTGCCCTATCTTCGAGACCTGCCACATGCCATCTTTCAACAAGATAATACAAGACTAGAAGTTGCACATTATGTTCTGACCTTCTTCAATGCACAGGGTATTCGATTGCTGCCCTGGCCTGCATGGTCTCCAGATCCACCCATTGAAAATATCTGATCATAGGTTGCTGAGAGACTGGTCTGCCACCTCTCTCCAGCTAACACAGTTGATGAAGTGTGACATATACTTGAAGCAGCATGGAATGAGTTGCCCGTTTCTATCATCAAGTCTATTTTGACTCCATGCCTAACCAGGTAAGGGCCATGATAGCTGCCAGGGTTTGGCAGCTGTTTCTTCTAATTTCACACCCCTGTAAACCCTCAAACTGCTTACAAATTTAATCATTTTGTCTTTATGCCATATTGTTTACGTTCAGTGAATATCTTTTTTGTATTTGCTTTCCTTCATGGTGTTGCAATTTTAATTTCCAGCAGTATATTAATGGACACTCAAGTTTTATTATAGCATCCATATATGTTCATCCAACTCTTACTTCAGGAAATTTGAAAATGTTCTTGTTTAGTGTAATGCTTAAGTATTCTGAGACTACTTTGTTGATTGACGAAAAGTTTACTGTAGATGCGAATGTTCCTATTATTATGATGGGAGATTTCAATGTAGATGTCAAATGAAATGAAAAGGCATTTGATTTTATGAAACATCATTCTAATCTCAGTATGGTGCCAAGTAACTATCCAGATACACAATTCAATTATAGATTCAACATCTGAGAATTCATTTGTAGATTTAACATTTAATAGGAATAAAACTGCAGACATCTTAAATTATGTATCTTATGTCTCATATCATTGATGAGCTTTGCGTAGGATCATTTTGAATTAATAAATAAAATTAATTAATAAAATAAATGTGTTTTTAAACTCTTTTGCTTGTTTTAGTTCTTCTATAACATTCCTACACTTCAAATACCAGCAGCTCTTTAAAAGAGAGAGCGTGCTGTCAATTTTATTTTTTTATTGTGAAGGGAAGTTGTGAAGGTTAATGTCTTTGTGTCTCCACATCCTACTAAAATCCAGGGTCTTTGTTTGATCATGATATATTGACATGAGACAAAATATGATGGAAATATATATGCATGAGACAAAACAGTCATATAAAAAATATCTCGTGTATCACATGAACATAAAGATAAACAGAGCATTTATAGACTATGAAAGAAAAAACTTATTGAGTTTGCTTGTATTATTTCAGTATTATAAAGTTTGATACTGGTTGTATATTTCATTTGTTATTTTTAAATGCTTCATGAACTTGTGAATTAGGAAAGTCTCTGTATTTGATATCCAGGTCATTTTGTATTTATGATAAGAGTGTGAAGAATGTTTTTCTATTTATTTAAAAGCAGATTTTGTCTCTGGTATGAATTAAAAATCACTGTTTAATTGTGCCTTTTTCTTTTCTGTAGGCAGAGGAGGTACTTAAAGTAACTCATGGTACTAAGCATCCTTTATATCAAGATCTTTTAAAAATTATTATGGAAACTCAGACTTGTATATCTGTAAATAAAGAGGAAGAAATATAAAACTGTTAGTCCTTGAATATTTTTAATATTAGTGATTATGATCCCATTTAAAAAATAATAAAAATGAAACATAAATTCAAGTAATATAGAATATCAATATGATACCCACACACACATGCATTCACACAAATTTAAAAAACGATTGTATTATTGAAACAAAAAGTATAATACTTTTTAGTCTACTAAATATTAATTTTGTCTTACTGCATCCTTTAATAAAGTTACTTGTCCTTTTACGTTTCCCAACATTTGTTTTCTGGGGAGAGGTGCTTAAATTCCAGTATGGGTAAATTAGGTGGCTGAGTTCCATTTCTTTATATATATATATATATATATATATATATATAAGCGGCTTAAGTCTTTGTCGCTGATAGTTTATTGTTGCCACTCAGAATGAATATCTCGGCCGATTAAAGTCGTACAAAGATGAGAACAGTATCGATGGATTCGGAGAATTTTTTGGAATCCGAGGATACGCATCTTGAATTTCAACTTGGCGCTGTTCCGTAGATATTCTAGAAAAGAGAATTTGGCATGTAGCCAAATCCCTCTAATTAATAAGGAAAACTCAAGAAAGAAAGTGGATAATGTAGGGGAAAATTAGTTTTTAATTGATGTCTTGGCTAATTAAAGTCCCACGAAGACGCAAATGGTCAAAATATCGTGTCATGGACCTGCGGAATCCAATGGTGTGCTTTGCTAAGTCTGGGAGCCAGCTGTTTCAGAGGAGATGATGTTACTTCACCATATATATATATATATACAGCTTATGTGTCTGTTTGTCACCAATAGTTTATTGGTTGCTTGCGTAACTGTACTAGCCAATGGGGTGAAGTTGCCACGGCACAGGGTTGCCATTTCAATTGAAACTTAGACAATTTCTTGTAAAACTTGTCTTTGCTATGACCATTAATAAGTTTCAGGGCCAAACGCTTAAGCGTGTTGGCATTTTTTTACCTGAGCCTGCGTTTGGACACGGTCAACTTTATGTTGCCTGTTCAAGAATTCGTAAAAGAATGGACATAAAATTAAAAATAATTGATGGTCCTCTGAAAGCCGAGCTTAATAGTGATGGAAAGATCTACACAAGAAATGTTGTGTACAAAGAGATCATGTGAATTAACATTTTATTGTTTAAATCACCTTTATATATTTAGCTAGCGGTGGCTCTTAAGAAATGTACTGCGAGTGGTGTCCTTCATTGCACTCTACTTTAAGCAAGTAGAAGGGGGAAAATCCGTGGGGCAGTAAGCAAAGGGGCATCCTTGCCGCCTGCCCTGGGTAATCCAGTTTGAATTAACAGACACCTTTGCACAAATCATTTTAATTACAATTTATGATATCTAAAACAGTGGTCGTTTTGTGTGACCACTGGGCTTTCTAGTATATATATATTGGTGCTAAGTTTAGTGTTATTGGCAAGTCATTTTAATGTAAACAATGACTTTTTTCACTTAATCCTTCAGGTATTAAAATTAAATCCTAAATTATGCATGTTAACTGGTGTTCGGGATGAGGAACTGCTAGTAGGAAAATAATGGTTCTTGGAATGTAAAGAATTTAAGCAAGCTGTCCAGCTGTTCAGTAAATTACCCCCAAAATCTTTACCATCCAAGAGGGATTATATTATATGATCCAAAAATTTAACTTGCATATTTAATGTGAATAAATTTCAATTCTAATAAAGTTTGTAGCCTCGAAGAAAAATGTTTAGAAATTCTTTTCATCATAGATTGTAGATGTTGTTTGGTTAATCAAGTTCTCTTTGAAGACTTATTTTCAACTGCCCCCCCCCCCCGAAAAAAAAATTCACATACGAAGGAACTCTTAAATAAGGCAATTATTCTTATTGCAAAAATTCATAATAAACATTTTTATTGCAAACATTCTTAACTATTTATCTTTTGACAAGTACGAATAACTGTTAAGCAAGTTTGTATCTCCATGAGAGTAAGATTTGTTTGCTGGCTAATTAATTAGCTCCATTTGTAGAATTTCTGTTCTTGTTCACATTTGTTTTAGTGGTAATGAAAATAATGTAAAATTGGGCTACAAGTGAATAAAATCAATGCATATTCAAATTTTTGTTTCAATAATTCTTTTTTTCTCACATATTTTTGAAATTTTTCCTTGCAATAACAGGGCATGATTTAACCTTCCAGCACACGTATAATGCACAAAGCTTACGACAAATTCGTTTTTTAATGAACAGTTTTCGCATATCACAACTAAGACATCTGAAAGTCATTTCTATTTCTCCTTTCAACCCTTCCCTGCATCATGGAATGTGCCAACAAGAAGTCATATGCCCTTGTTTTTTTTTTTTTTTTTACTGGGATTTGTGCTACGTGGCAGCTTCTTCGTAAAAGTTACGATGCGTGCGTGGTCGTGGAGGAAAATCCGAAAAATGTTTTTTTCTCAAATAGTTTGTAATTTTGTGTTATTAATTGACATGTATTATTTTAATTTGTATAAATTCGACTCTATATTTTTATATCGGTTTTCATGGCAAAAAATATGAGCAACCAGCTGATTTTGCTAGCATTCTTCAAGAATAATCTGATGAAGAAAAAGAAGACAAGGAAACCTTTGGATGTGAGAACAATAGCGATTTAAATGAGGAAAGTATAGCAATAAATAATATCAGCCATGAATCTGAACAATAAATTTTGGATGATGATATAGAAAAAAGGAATGATTATGTTTGTAAGGATAACTCTTCTAAGTGGTGAAAACAAAAGTATGTAAACTGCTAAGTGGTGAAAACAAAAGTATGTAAACTAAAAGTCAAATAAAATAAATATTGTGAAAGTGCTACCTGGCCTAAAACACAATGCGAAGGATATAGAGGATGAAATGGGATCATTTTTGAAAATAATTGATATAAATATGCTTGATGAAATTTTGGAATGTAAAAAAAATAAATATATAAGATTGCTAAAAGGCAAATACTCAAGAGACAGAGACTGCAATAGTTATTAAAGAATAAATTTAAAATTTTCTATAATGAAATACATAATTGCCTTACTAATATAAGCATTTAAAAATAATTTACTTTTATTTGAATGTGACATCATTTGTATTTTGCAATAATAAGGTTGATATTTTATTTCTTAACAAATTCATTATCAATATTCACCCATTTATGTCGTTTTTCGTTCCCAAATGATGAAATAACAGATGTAAAAAATACGACGCACGTGTACTCATATAAAATTGCCAAGCGTGCATGTTGGAAGATTAAGATGTAGGAAATGTACAAAATATTGTGATTCGAGTTATGTTGCATGTAACTGCTGCTTAACTTTAAAAGGTTTAATACAAGCAGACATGTCAATGAAGAGTTTATTCTTTACTTGCAACTCTTAATATTGAAATGTCTGGTTAAGGTAATATGAAATGCAAAATTTATTAGTCATGCATTATTATGCAGCTTGTCAATAGTTTTATTTATTTTTGTGTATTGAAATTTTGATTTAATTCATTATATGAGAAAACTGTTTTAATAGAACTTTTTGACATGACTACTACACTCACCTCTTTATGCTGAATATCTCTGTACTCACTCTTAATTTCTTCAAGCAATACATTAAACTTAATGATGCAGAGCTCTTCTGTAGCTGTAAAACTATACTTTATGCATATGGATGCAAACTTCTGGCACTGTATTTATAACAGATATATAAATAAATGTATTTGCCAGTTTGAAACCACTGCTCTGTAATGATGATATTTATTAAAAAAGAAACTTAAAAAAATTTACTATCCTTTCCAGTTCCATTTAAATTCAGAATGCAATGGTATATAAGGCTAATGTGTAGTTATACAACACAAAGTTTGAGATCCGGAACCATCAAGACTTAGCGATTTTGGGTTTCCTAGATTTCCGGATTTTAGGTCATCAGTTTAAATCTAGTAAGATGACATATAGACATGGCACACTGAGGCTTGCTGTTTAATAGAAGAATGTTCTTTCCCTACAGCAAAGCTGGTATTATGGCCAGTGTGGCTGCAGCAGTTGACAGAGTTAGAAATATTGAATTTTTAGGAACAGCAAAAATTGAGGATCGCAGAATTTTTAGAATTTAGGAAAAATACTGGGAGCAGAATTTGTAGGAATCAAATTTTTTAGAATTTAGAGAAGTGCTGGGCAGCAGAATTTATGACCTGCAGGGATTGTACTGGTATGCAATATGCACAGAACTAAATTAACATAAAAACTGAAAGTATTTATTATCTCTTACAATTTTCTTTTAGTCAAGTTAAAATTTTGAATATTACTTTTTATTTGTTTTTGAAATTAAGAATTACAAAATTTAAACTGAAAATGGTACTAACATATTAATATTAAACTATTGAAAATTATTTATTGCTATAAATAAATTTGAGATACACTGCTAAGAAATATATTTTGATAGTTATAGTCCCAATAGTTCTTCAATTAAAAAAAATACAGAGGGTGTTTACACATTTTTGTTACCATTCTGATTTTCTCCATGAACTTAAATAATATTAATTTTAAAATACAAATGTGACTTGCATCAAATCGGAATAAGGTTTAATTATCATCTGCAGCATTAAAATATTCTTTTCTTTAAAATATTTCTTTAAAATAAACAATGGGTCGAAGGCTATTTTTTTGCACTGAATACTCTTATTCAATTATTAAAAAAAAAAAAAAAAATATCTGAAAAAGCATGATTTTAATATTTCTACACGTGACATAGTTAATGTGAAAGGAAAGAACCATCAAAGTTTACATCTGACTTGGAAAAAGGCAAAAAATACATGCCCAACAAAGGTATGTACAGCTAAATCTAAAGTCACATCTCATGTTTTAAAGGAAAATACAGCTCCCCAAGGAGTTATTGCAAAATTTTTAGATATCTCTGTAGGAACTGTGAACAAAATTATAAATTCTGATTTAAAGCTAATAAAAATAGAAAACATGATGTTCATCGTCTAACGCCAAAACATGCTTCTCTGCATAAGACTATGTGCA